CGATCTCGCCCTATCGTCCATGTCGATCGAAAGGGCGAAGTAATGAGAACCTGCTATTCACTGGCCTAGATTCATGTTACTGAAATTCTTAGGACGAAGAAACTACCTTGTTTAGGGACATCAGCATCGTGCGATCTATTCTTTCGTTGGAATATATTGCGGGGTCCGGGTAGATAGATTCTCAGTATATCTTCATTCTATGACTTAGGCTATATCATGCCAAGTAAAAGTATTGAAGTTGCATTTACGCTGTCAGCTCCGGAAGCAACATTAGCATCGACCAATAACAACGATAGGCATATAGAAAAATGCAAGTAACCTTCCGCAACCGTACCATAATAATATATGCTTAACAGACCTGCTGTATATCAGCTCGGAACCAACGTGTATATTCAGTGCTATCATAGTACTACTCGAACACTGAATCCCGAGCAAAAATTACAGCAGATTTCACGAGTCAGGAACTGTTCTTCCAGTCACATCTCGGGATTCTATATCACGTAGGAGTTCCAGTTATATGGCCTTCTAAATCACGAAGTTTAACTCGGGTCGTCTGCAGCTTTGGCCTCAACTATACCGTGCTATGGCCGCCTAGACAACCGATCGAGGTCTAGGTCTGCCACCAGCTGCAACGTCTCGGTCTGGAAACTACCTCGTCATAGGCAAAATGGCTTGCTCCTACTTCGCTACCGACTTTTGGTATGCTTCGCTAACGAATACGTCCAGTCGTGCCAGGTTTTTTGACCTGCAATGGTCACTTGAACAACCCGACCGTGCTACCACAACACTATTATTAGCCTTCTAATATTTTTCAATATTAAATGCTTAACTCATGTAGCTCGTGCCTGCCGGAGGGTATCCTAAGATATGGGCACCGTGCCGACCCTACAAAAGTCAGCCCTGTCCCTAGCTCGATGCAGATCTGTACTCTAAGGAGGTATTACACGGAAGGTATCCAATATCAAAGAGGGAATCAGAATGGCTTCGAGAATCGTGCGGCTCTGTCTAGTGGTCGGATGTTTGGCTCTTCGAGCTTCTGCTGTCTGTGCCGTCTACGGGGTGGATTATTCTAATGGGGGTTCATACAACATCGATCCTGCTTCCGATGAATTATTCAGTTTCACTTCAGTATTCCAAGGTACCGTCAAATCACTTATGTATTCAATGGTACCATGTATTGATGTTCGCCAGCTTGTGTCCAGGAGACAGTAAAGCCTATCCTAGTTGACCCGGCTGGCCACCAGTACACTTGCACTTCCATCAACACGACCCCTGATGGACAAGAGCAGACGTCAACATGGTGAGTCAAACCATGCTCTTCCTTAATCGAGAAAAGCATAAAAGCTAACTATCAAGCAGTGCGATAGCGTTTTCTTCGATGTCGTCGGGCCAATGGAGGATCGTTATCTCTGGCGCAAACGTAGCTGTTCAAAGAATCATCAACCTCACCCTAGTTTCACCCTCTACAGTGATCGTGACTGTAAGTGGCTCTTCATAGCAGAATTATGCTCGAGAGCCCCGAAATTGGCACTGAGAAAACTACAGGCTACTCCGACCGTGATCGTGGGAATCACAAGTACACCTGCACCAACAAGTACGTGCTCAACTTACTAATGCCAACCACTCTCAAAGATAAATCATCCTCCTAATTATACCGTAATTCCACATAGCCGTCTTCTCAACAATAGGAACGCAGACGCAGACTCTAATCTTAGCTCCCGGGACGATAACGACGGCGTGCGTCGGGTCGACGACAACAGTAACGATTACACCGACTAAATCCACCGTCCTGGTCACCTCGGTGGTAACTCGCACGACAACTGATCAGACGGTGACCAAGGTGTCGACAAAAACGGTTCAGAAGACGGCCTACTGCCACTACACCTCGGATAGCTTGCCGCCGCCTAACACGATCTGCATCGGAAACGCCTGCGGCTTGCCGCCGGATCTACCGTCCCCTACTATCTGTGTTGGTGCGTATTGTGCTCGGCCGGCGGCGGAAACTGCCCGGGTGCCGGATACCCCGACGACGACGACCGTAAAGGAGGTTGTCAAGGTTCTCCTCGCTACTACGGTCACTGTCACGGAGACGACGTATACTGTGACAAGCACGAGCGTCACTGTGGCCCCTACGCCTACAGTGACGGAAGATGGTATGTTTACCGGCTTGTCACGTTCTCTTTTTGAATGTTAGAATACTAATTCTTTCCTGCAGTGATCAAGACTACCACGACTACAGTGTAAGTTCCGATTACCCATTACCCATGATCACATACACATCCCTTCCTTTCCGCTACGAAATACTCTGTTTTGGGGCTCTTTTCCCCGCTTTGTGCTAACGAATATCAATCGCAGGACCCCTCGACCATCAACCATCTGCAGCGGTCAAAAGCCCGGCGTCACCGTATCGCTAACGCAGCCTCAGGCGACGGTCACGCAAACGAGCTTGTCATATTCTACGAAGCACTCCACTGGGACTGTCACAATGGTGTACGTTAACTATTCTCTCTACCGTTTTATCTGATTAAGCATCGATGGGATCTACCATGGCATCAGCGCTCGGAGGAGACTCAGCAGCGATATACTAATCTTTGATTGTAGGACTACCAAGACTACCGTGAGCACCAACTCCAAGAGCGCCACGAGCTGCTGGTTAAATGGAGGGTGGATGGGAGCCGATTAAGAATTGTGAGGGGACAAAGTTGGGCGCGGTCTGGTTCTGTTCGCCTGAGCAACTTAGGTGTGATTATTTTTGTAGTCCTGACGAAGTTACGCGTAATACTCATATCAGACTCAAGACATTGTTACCCTGTTTTCTTTTCACCATCTACACAATATGAGAACCGTTGTAGCAAATTAGACACACCATAGCCTGAAGACGTGCCACATTGCGCGCAGGAGAACTTTCAGATCCTGTAATGCACTCTATTGTCCACATTAACTACGAGCCTCCCCTTTCATGCTGACTTCACACAAAATCAATCCTTCTGCTGTATCCAAGGCCTATAATGTAGGGTTTGATCGTCATACCAACTCAAACTATTGCTCATCTATGGCGATGTCTCTGTCAACTAGAAAATCTTCCTTGGCATGAAGCGACCACGCGAAAAGCTCAACGGACGGTATCGTGATATTCATGCTGCTACTCGGTGGTCGGTCATCTATTTCCGGTGTATAAATAGCAATTCGCATATTTTGATCGCAAGAATCAACCCTCTCAATCAATATGAGAATAAAAAGAGCTCATGCAGGTGCCGGCATCTGGTTTAGGGCCAACTGTTATGACATTCTCTTCACCCGTACTTGTCCTTCGAGGACGCGAGCCACGGTACCCCTGAACGAAGACCGTTGTTGCACGGAAGCATGCGTGCGTACGGGAAACCACCTAACGGAGATCACCGATGAGGTAGATCTTTCAATGGAAGGCCACCTGTGCCACGCCCTGTGAGATGCAAGGGTCCTTTGTAAGTCATATCCGTATAGGCATGAAGGCGTATCGCATATAGTCTCGGGTACAGATAGATGAAGCTATTCAGGTATCTAAGACATTCAGCTGAAGACGCTGAGACAGAGGGCCAAAGGTCGAAGGAAATGCTGTACTTATACCCTGGCTCCCAGGGGGCCCTGAGAGGCTTCATGGGTAGTCAAGGGGATCCATGCGACCATAGGAATATTATTCTCATTCAGAGTGATGCTCCAAGACCTACGTATAGCCCTTGTCATAACCGTTCACATCTATTCAGTATGTCAGTCTTTAGATCTTAAGAAGTAAAAGCACCGGGTTCAGCCTACCTCTCTAGCGAGCATATTGCTTCGAGCCCCGTAACATAGCTGCAAGAAGAGACAGTCGGTGCCCCATGGGCCAGTCATCTAGAGATGACCTGGAGGCAAATAGTCTAACCAGAAGGCATGCCAACGCTTGTCACTATATGACTGCTGTGACCATTTGTTGGGAGATTTTCCTGGCAGGCGGTACCCATTGTGTAGCTTTAGTTATACTTTCTTCTATCCCTTCCACGCCTTCCGTACCTTCCATACCTACCATCTATACCTTCTGCACCTTCCACGTCTTCCATGCATTGCACAGTTTGCACACCTCCCGCATCTCCTACATTTTCCGCACTTCCCATCCTTCGACACCTCCTATACCTCCCACACCTCGATCTATCAAGGAAGCAGTCGGGTTGCAACATTAATGGCCAATCAAGCTCAAATACTGTTGCTAATAATCGGGATGCCACTGCCTGAAGGTATGTAGAAGAGCTGAGAGCAATATGCTCGCCCCAAAGAGCTAAAGTCAATATCTATATGCTAACAAACCTCGATGCTTAGCTCACGAGACCCCGAATAATCATCAAATAAGAGTTGAATAACTATTTGAATAATTGCTAATTGTGTTTATAACACTAGTCACCCTTGAGCTCTGCGAGGTCATCCGGCGATGCGAGAACCAATATCTACGGTACAGTAAAAGAACACGCTGGAGGCCGTCGTCGCTCGGCGTGAGAAAGACAACTGCAAGTATACCACACAATGTACTGAGCTACTATCCTTCGAAACCAAAATGCTTCGAATCATTAGGAGTACACACTGCTGATTTCGATCCCTCCCCAGCATCATGGAAGCCCTTTAGGTTTAGACAGGTTTTGGACCAAAGCCACCCGAAACAGTTTCCGCGGGCGTTGTTGCGGGAGGATCTAGCACGATCACAGCCTATTTTCCAGTCACCGCAACAACTCCAGACCACTCACCTGAGCCTTTAACCTAGCATAGACCATCTCATTGACTTACAAGGCTGAGTCCTTTCCTGTGCAGAGTTCAGAGTTCACCCTCCCACAGTCGAGCCAGCAAGAAGAATCCGTTCGGCGCGACAGTCCGCACTGACGCCACCATCCGAAGCTAATCTATCTTCGGGAAACCCGAATTTCAGCCATGGAATACGATGGAGACACGTGACCGCTTTATATACCCACCATTCCGCATCGAATCTCCAATAACACAGTCGTATGGTCTAATGGTTATGATTTCTCGTTCACATAAGTGTTCAAAAACCCGAGAAGGTTCCGTGTTCGATCCACGGTACGACTAAGCCCTTGCTTTTTGGCTCCGTGAGCATCAGGGATGAAGCTCGTGGGATGGCCTTACTTCTTTTCCAGCCTACTTTTAGCTAAACCTTGGCGTAAGCCAAACCCTCCATTTCTTTTCCTTTGGCTTGCAATGGGATGAACACCTAACTCTATTTCAAGGAATTGTTGGACTCGAAGCTGGCGGTATGATTACTATGGATAGTGTAACTGGCTATTTAGTTTGGAGCACGAGGTAAGCTATCCAGGGTAGCTCCACCACAGCGGAACTGGCCCCAAGACGTCCCTGAGCCGCTTCGTGGAAAAGGAGGTAAAGTCAGATTGTTGAATCAAGAAAATATGGTATTCTTAGGGTCTTATTTGGTATCAACTAGAATTTATTATCGAATGAGACCGCTCAGTATCTTGCGTGGATTGATGATGTATGGCAAAACAGCTGTACCAGTGCCATCCCCAGACAATATAAGCTAGGAAAACCCCGTTCCCCCTAACCGACCAAGAACCGGAAGGGTGTCTATAGAGAACATTGGAGGTATTCAAGCTATTGGATCTCATGAATCTACGAAGCTATAAAGCTGGTGTAACAGAGCTGTGCTTTTCGAATTTCTATAAACATGAGAATGATATTATACCCACATGAACTAGAAGTAAAGTCAGCCGTTGAGCGTATCACGATCCAAATCCTTATGCCAGAATCATCGCCTAAGGTTAGGTCCAAAGTAGCCGAGGTAGATAGGCCTCATCTCTAAATTCGCAGATTTATAATTTCGAATTTAATATCTATTATTCTATCCGAATATGATACACCACCCACATCAAGACGACTCAACACCGCCAAACCTCTTCCCAAACGCCAATGTCCCCCCAATGAGCTTTCCCACGACATACCCGGCGTAGACGCCGCAAAGGATGGTGACAGGCCACTTCTGCCACTCGCGATCCCAATCAAGCGGAATCGGCACAGCCCCAAGCCAAGCCCCCAGACCGGCGCCGACGAGCCCACCAAAGGCCTCGTCGAAGGGGGCCCTGGCGCTCATGATCTCGATCCAGTCTCTGCTGACGACACCGCGCGTGTAAAACAGGGGGTATAGCCCTAGAAGCGACAGGTGGAGCGAGCAGAGGAAGGTATGCGGGATGTGCGTTAGGAACGGGGCGCCGAAGAGTACTAACAGCACGTGGAGCGCCGCGGCGGAAATAATGGATAGCACGAGAGCTACGACCGTCGTCTGTGATTTGGGGGTTATATCTCGTCAGTTTCCCCATCCTTGCGCAACACTACACTACACTACAATAATAGAGAAGCATGGGGGACATACCACAGCAATATTCGGCCCAGCGCCGTCCGAGCCACTCTTCTTCTTCTCCCCGGGTCGCGATTTCTTAGATCCCTTTACCCCCTGGGAGCCTGCGGCTGGGAGACAGGTGATTGTGTATGCGGCTTGCAGCGCGAGGATTATGGGGAGGGAGCTCTGCATCGTTGCTACGGGATCGGATACCAGCGCGCGGAACCGTATGGCGAAGAGACCGAGGAGAAGCGCTGGGTGGGCATGGCGGAGCGCTCGCGCTTCTGGGGATTGTAATGTTCGGATGGCTTGTGTTGGGGACTCTGGCTCGGCCATCTTTGCTAGTTCTTGGGATGTCATGGCGGCTGGTATGCCTTTTCTTGAGGCTTGCGACATGGTGGGAGCTCGGCGCGGCTTTGTGTTGTGTGAGATGGCGTGATTGGGTGTATTAAGGGGTTCTACGCTTTCAGCGAGTCGGTCGTTATCAAGGTGTATTATGCAGCCAGTTGGCTATTGTGAGAGACTTCAATCGTCTTTGAATGTTCATGATACCAAAGAGTAAATCAATGGATGATGCACCGAGAAGCACATTGGAGCTCTAAAAGGCGCTGTAGAATAGTCTAGGGGCTCCCTACGAAATTCACTGGGTCTTTAACTATGCTGAATCGTATCGATAACCGATAAGCCGATTACGAGAAGCTCTCCCACCAGCCCACCTTGAAGGTACCTAAGGAAAAGTGAGGCCACAATGACTTATTTGTATGAGCTTAGTAGGATAGGTTACAATCGTGATGTTTCTGCAGAATAGCATCTAGGCATCGCTTAGCTAAGTGCCCCTTTTAGGAGCTGTATAGCTATGTGGTAGACCAGATCAATTGAATTGTCTAGTTACCCCGACGATAGAAAAAGATCTGATAGAGAGCTATCTAGACAGAGCTTGTGTGGATATAAGGTCTATATGATAGAGGTACTAAACTCTGTGATTTTCTTATTTATTTTTCCACTCGAAATTCACTCGGTCTTGGGTAGTAGATTCCGTAGAGAGAGATCGTAGATGACGTCCTCCACCTTCTTAACGTGATACTTGACGGCGTCGATGCGCTTCCGCACGATGTCGTTCTTGAGGTTGAGCAGCTGGAAGCCCGCGAACAGGTCCTTGATGAAGGCGCTGATGCGCACCGTCAGCGTCACGTCACCCATGGTCACCGAGTTCATGGCGAGGCGGCTGAGCTCTTCGGTGATATCGGTGAGAGCTAGCAGGTACTCCTCGATGGTGACGTGGAAGGCGTCTTGGTCCTTGAGGTTGACGGGGACTGTGGTGTAGATGATTACGTTAATGCACGTGTCTCCGAGTAAATACATGGATTGTAGATGGTGTTTCTTTGTTGTGTTCCAACGTACCCTTCAGGATCTCTCCCACTTCTTCGATGGTCAGAAGACGGCCTAGTTCGCCGGGGCGAGACTCAGTGCCCATGCCGCCGAGCCAGGCTGTGGTGAGGATTGTGCCCACCACATTTTGGAGGCTGCGGGACCATCTGGAGTTGTATCTATTTCATAGTTAGAGAGTGTAACACGGAGCGAGGTTGCACAGATGACATGTTCGTACTTGTAGTACGGGTAGTTTGAGGCAAACTGGGCGAGCTCTGCCACACTCTCAACTTCGGGCTGGATACCGGTCTCTTCAACCTGCTTAAGCAGTTGTGGCACTGATGGTCAGGGCATGTCAGCAACAACGATAGAGAAGAGTTTGTGACATGAAGATTGATAGATAATACGTACATTTCGAGGCTGGTGTGGAATGAATGCGGCTGAGGAGACCTTGGCTCGTAGAGACGTTACGGTTGAGGGTGGAAAGGATTTTATGGAGTCTATCGCCAACCTCAATCTCTTCTTCGCCGTGAGCCTTTAGATACTCGAAGATGGCAGGGTCGATCATGTTAGAGCCGTTGTCAGCCGCCATGTTGACTAATGTACTTGATGAGATGAAAGTTGGAGAACTGTAGAGAGTGAAGAATGGAAGTTCAGGCGCGATGGGCACGCTGATGGGGTGATACGTTTGTCTATTGTGGTTGTTTTCTAGCTAGCAGACAATGAACCGTTGACACGACAAGTTGCTTGATGTGGATAGATGCTTTAAGTTACTTATGCGCAGGAGAAGTTTCCTTGTCACAGTGATAGTTTTAGGGACTGCTCCAGGATTGATCGAGATAGCTCTTTCCTTAGCGGATGACTCCATACAACACAGGCTGATAGATTTCTCTTTGCAATATACCAGTGGACGTCAACACTTCGCACATGATATGCCATAACTAAGATTGAAGATTTCACGATCCCAAGAGTTTGCGGAGGGCTGAATAGTGTGCCCATGGAAGTGGTACATAAATATGTTAATTTGTCTAGCGAGAACCTTCCGAATAAAATGTGCTATGTAGAGGTGATAGCATCCAGCCTGCCATCACCAACTAGTATTGTCATATCTAAACCGCCTCATTATTTCCATACACGCGCCTCTGCACTCTCGAAGCTTCATCCAAGCTAGGCAACCAGAAGCTCTCCCTCACGTTCCTCAGTACATCAAGCCAAGCCTAAAACTCCTTCAAAGACAAGATCCATCGAGGCAACTCTTCTTCACACCCACAGACAAGCCGCAGATCGCAATGAAAAGTAGTGTTCGCGTCACCTGGAGGCAGTGTAATACCAGGGACACGGTGGGAGCGATCATGCGCAAGCACAGAGGATGCACTCCCGGAGGGAAAAAATTAGAATAATCACGATTGAGTCCAAGTAGGACTCTTTCAGAGATTAAACTGAAAAGAACAGATACTACACTTGATCTAAGCCAAAAGGCAAAGAGAGCTAAAGAAGAAAGGAAAGGAAAGTCGAGTAAAAGTCTGGGAGGGAGGGCAGGTATTTATAGACAACTCGGAAGGGGAGCTGAGCGGTAGAAGGCGGCAGAATCGCTGCTGCCTGCTGGTTGGTTGGTTGGTTGGTTGATTGGTCTGTGCTTGCCTTAGGTATTGTATTGCCAAACAGGTCCAGCAATCAGAAGATGGCGCTAGCTCGGACCAAATTGAAGTACCTAGCTACTGTTACCCTGCCGGTATTCACAATGAAGATACAAAGCGAATAATAAAAATAATATAGCCGAGTACACATTGAGCTAGGGAATGGGACATATCTAAACTTTGGATCACCAACCCCTTTGTTTAAGTATGTACCTAGCATTTGGCTGCCAGGGCAAATGACATTGTTGTTCTACTTGTAGCATTTCAAGATCATTTTTATGGTACGAATACAATGAACTCTTCTTCATGTACCTGGGATGCTTTAGGGACGTATAATGATTAGCATGTTTGGGCGATGTCGATGATATTTGTTCAACCCGGCTCCTTGAAGCCCATCTAGTTCTACATGATAGTACTATACACATGGTATGTTTATACACCTATCGCCTTATAGGAGGGTGCTGGTGTCTCCTCAGCGGAGGCGCCGACAATGAGTGACGCAAGCGGGCGTGGGCCATTTCGGCGTTGTTGATTTTGGCGATTACTGGAGGGTTGAAGAACGCATTAATCCTTTCTGTGCCGTTGACTAGACTGCCCTCCTCTTCCTTCTTTTGGTCAAGTAGCAGGGCCTTCTGCCTTGTGTCTTCGAGGAACTGTCGTCGATCCTCCGTCATCCGCCATTCCTTGGGGAACTTGGGCTTCACTTTGAACGTGTG